CCTGAATGGTACGCCACCTGCAGCCGTGGAAGAGCACAAGTCTGTGCCGCCCTCGTCCCTCGGCACACCGCACACGTCTGTGGACTGTGGACTCTGGAGGGAAATGAAGATGGAATTGAAAGAACCAAACTATAGGACTACTAGGAGTAGGACTTCTCCCGCCCGCGCTCGGAAAGCAACACCGGGCGTTTGGCACGTACCACATCACATCGCGGGCGCCGAAACCGAGCCGCGCCGAGCATATTCCAGTGCGCCTACGCTGCTCCGCCTCGTTTTCTTTTCGTCTCCTGGCTGCAGGTGGCGGAGACGACTTGCTGTGATTTCTTTTTCTCCCGTTTCGGCCGCCCGCCCGCGACCCGCCCCCGCGTGCACCAGCGCTTACTTTTACTCGCGTACAACCTACTAGCGTTCAGTGTCCCCGGAAATACCCCTCCGATGTCCGATCTGGTCTCGAAGAGCCGGCTTATAAGCCACGGTTCCCGGCTCTATTCCGCTAGTGTTCAGTGTTCCCGGCTCTGTGCGGTTGCCATTATCGTGGTACAATATTTTTCTCCCCCTACAAGTCTGCTGTTATGCAAGGGTGAAGGGGTCAAATTCGCCGTGAGGTCAACACGGTCATTGGCCTACTTCACCAGTCCTCACGCTGTCGTGGCGTCTCCGGCTTCTTGTTGACGACCCGGCACCCTCGGTTTCCACTTCCGCCTCCGCGCGCGCCACGGCCGACCTGCCCTTCCCGAACTGTGCGCTTTAAAGCCCCGCATCGCCATTTGCAGAATTGCCCCGTGCTCCGCTCCGCTCGCCCCGGCAACAAAGCACGGGCTGACCAACCAAACCAGTCTCTGTAGGCTGCCTGTAGCTGGTCACCACCAAGAAGCTAACCACCAACGCCCAACACCTCCACCGCGCGGCGCGGAGGGGCAGGGGCAGCTGCCGGCCCGAATTAACCTCCCTCTCGCTTCTCTTCTCCTCTCCTCTCCGCCTCCAAGATCGCAAAGTGAAGGCGCGACGCTGACATGGTGGCGAGCGTCGCTGCCGCGGCAGCGGCGGCGGCGGTGGCGGCGGGGCCGCGCCACCGCGGGGGCAGCAGGAGGGAGCCGGCGACCATGCACGCCGGCATCCGGCGCTCGCGCTCCGACCCGCACCTCCGCTGCCCGCGCCGCGGGGGCGCGGCGGGCGCCGCGCTCACCACCAGCCGCTCCATCGGCGTCTTCCCGTTCCAGTTCGACGCCGCGCCGCTGCGCCCTCCGCCGCTGCCCGACGGCGGCGGCGACGGCTCCCGGCTCCTCACCGTCGCGGACGCCGACGACGGCCCGCCGGAGCCCGAGCCACCGGAAATGCCGGCCGCACGGAGGCCCGAGGCGCACTGGCTCGACCGCCTCCTGGAGCTCCGCTCCCGCTTCCACGACCCGACCAAGCGCGACGTCCTCGACGAAGACGACGACGACGAGGACCTCTACCGTCTCGACGGCGCTGACCACCACGACGGCGGGTGCGGCGTGAGCTACGAGGACGACGGCGAGGAGGAGGCGGAGGATGCCAGGTGGGACCAAGAGTCCTTCGCCAAGCTGCTGGCGCGGGCCCCGCTCGGAGAGGCGCGGCTGTTCGCGCAGCTGGCCTTCCTCTGCAACATGGCTTACGTCATCCCCGAGATCAAGGTGAGCCATCGCGCGAGCACACACAGCTATAGTAGCGTCAAAATGATAAACCCTAGGCCGTCCGTTCGGACCCCGACGGCCGAGATCGTCTGATCTGGCCGCTCGTCGTCCTGCCCAGGAGGATCCTCGCGCCTACAGGCTGGGCCTGGCCTGAAGGTGCACGCGGGCCCACTGCCACTTGTTGCTTAATTTTCTTTTTGATTTTGTGGGGCTGACCCGAATACCGCATCACTCGAATAAAGAATTTCGCGGTATGGAGGAATCGCCATTAATGGTCGACAGATTTAGGTAGGACCTTGGCCGCTGGAAATAACTTGTCCAGGACGTCAACTTGGCTCGGTTTCCAGTGAAAATGGCGTCGTATGCTCCCTCTGGTGCCGCCACCGGCGCGATGCCCATTCTTTGCATGATTGCATGAGTAGTACCTCACCCCGCTTGGAGGTGGGTACATGCAACAACGGCATAGCGGCAATCCGCCTGCTCCTTATTGGCAGGGGACGCTTTGTTACCGCCTTGTGACTTGGAGGACTAGCGATCATAATTTAATAATTGTATGGTTGTTTTTGCTGTTAGCTGCTAGGTTTGTGCCCTTGGAGATTAGGAGCAGTCGATGTGTAGTTTTCTAGAATTATTATGGAGGAAATCATCACGTAGTTTTCTGCTGTTTCCTTTAGGTAGTTGGCTGGAAAGTTCCATATACCGGCAAAATTATGTTAATTATTGAAAAACCAATGTCGTGATGTGATGGTACCATGCTATTTGGTGTTGACTCTTCTTGATATTTCGACATTCTTGTAGTCGTACACTCGATCGATGCCCATTATTCTGAGTGAAATTTTATCGATGGAGAACCTGTTAGTTTTAGTAGATCGTGAATGAAGCCGATCAGTAATACTAACTAATAAGTGACAGATATGAAATGCGCAGTATCTGAATGAGTGTCGATTGGTTTGGTTTCAGGTCGAGGAGCTGAAGAAGCACTACGGACTGCGGCTCGTGACGTCGTCTCTGCAGAAGAAGGCGGAGGCTGGCATCATAAGCGCCAAGCTGGACGCGGACTCCACGCGGCCGCGCACCGCGCCGGCGTACGAGGTGGCCTCCGGCCCGCAGCCGCGCCGGCCCATCCGGTCGTCGCACCTGGCCTACGAGGTGGCGGCGTCGGCCGCGTCCTACGTCCACGCGCGCGCGCGCGGCCTGCTCTCGTTCGGCGCGACGCCGCCGCAGCGGCACCAGCAGGCGGGTCAGCAGGGCAGGCTGTACAACTCGGGCGTGGCCGCGTACATGGCCGCGTCGACGGTGACGGCGGTGGTGGCCGCCGAGGACGAGGCGCGGCAGGAGGCGGCCCGCGACCTGCGGTCGCCGCTGTCGTCGCCGTGCGAGTGGTTCGTGTGCGACGAGGCGGACGCGCGGACGCGGTGCCTCGTCATCCAGGGCTCCGACTCGGTTGCGTCGTGGCAGGCCAACCTCCTGTTCGAGCCCACCGAGTTCGAGGGCACGGGAGTGCTGGTGCACCGGGGCATCTACGAGGCGGCCAAGGGCATCTACGAGCAGGTGATGCCGGAGATCGAAGCGCACCTGCGGGCGCACGCGGGGGCGCGGCTGCGGCTCACGGGCCACTCGCTCGGCGGCAGCCTCGCGGTGCTGGTCAGCCTCATGCTGCTGGCGCGCGGCATTGTGACGCCCGACGCGCTGCACCCGGTCGTCACGTTCGGGGCGCCCTCCGTGTTCTGCGGCGGGAACCGCGTGCTGGAGGCGCTGGGCGTCGGCGAGGCGCACGTCCGGTCCGTGGCCATGCACCGCGACATCGTGCCCAGGGCCTTCTCGTGCCGCTACCCGGGCCACGCCATCGCGCTGCTCAAGCGCCTCAACGGCGTGCTCCGCACCCACCCCTGCCTCAACACGCACAAGGCGCTGTACACGCCCATGGGCTCCACGTACATCCTGCAGCCCGACAGCGGCGTGTCGCCGCGGCACCCGTTCCTCCCCGAGGGCGCGGCGCTGTTCCGGCTGGACTCGGATGACGCCGCGCGGAGGGCCCTGGTGGCCAGCGCGCTGCGCGCGTTCCTCAACTCGCCGCACCCGCTCGAGACGCTGAGCGACCTGTCAGCCTACGGCGCGGGGGGCGCCATACTCCGGGACCACGAGTCCTGCAACTACTTCAGGGCGCTCAGCGCGCTGGCCAGGGCGCCACCGCGGCGCCGGAAGCAACCGGAGATCGTGTGGCAGCTGCCCGGCGTCGAGCGGCTGCAGCAGTATTGGTGGCCGGGGATCGCCGGCACCGTCATTCCCGCACCGGTGGCCGTCAGCAACAAGGAGCTGGTGTCCGAGGCATAGAACTTTGCGCTGCGTTCCTTTGGTTCGCTCGCCCTGTTGAGCAGTGTACATTCTTTGGTTCTTTCTTCTTTGGTTGGTTCCGCACGAGGTACATAGGAATGCACAGCTTCTTTTGGCGTTTAGGTTCGTGTAAAAATTGTAATCATGCATAGCATAGGAATAGGAGCGTGTCTGGTTTGGTGTCCTGGTGGCAAGCAAGATCCACGGCTGCTCAATAAGACAATGACAATGGGTTTTGTCTTGGGTTCATGCGAAGGAGCGCATGAGTTCAACATGTAAACTTGTTTCAATGAAGCCGTAGAATTCTAAGAACTTTGAGCAAGTGAGCAACAAATATTCCTTTCGAATCAACCAGAGCGCCACCACGCTCCTCTCCGCAAGCAACTGAACTCCAAACCATCACTCGCCATGTCCCCTCGCAGCTTTTCCGCCACGCTCCAGTTTTCAGTGCATCAGTTCTGAGAAACAAGGCTCAAACAAAACACAGACAGGACCATCAAGTAGATGTTAGTAACACGAATACATTGAACGTCTATCGTTTGACAAAAACAAACAACACTTGTTTGACAAAAAACAACCGTATATGTACTATTTCCTTACAACAAATGTCAATAAAAAAGGTGAAAAGAACATGGTAAACATGTTACCCTAGCCAGAAACCTAACATTCAGAATATGCAATGTTACACCTATATTTATCCTAACTAAACCAAAGTATGGAGGGTTTTGCAATCCAGAGCCTTGCCGGGCACCATGGCAGTCTTCCATCCCAAGAATTATCAATGAGCAGGCATCATCTTTTGCAACACCAATCTTCTCAGTTTCTGATGTATTGGCTGCTCGTCAAATGGGAATGGTGCCAAGATGAAAAATGCACCATAGGTGTTGCGCCCTATTTTACACAAGGGGGCATCCGAAGGAACTTCAATGGCTCATCTAGACTCCACTTACTGTACACGGATTTACAATTCACAGTTGGCGAATGCTATCTTGATGCAACAAAAGAATCTTTTTAAGTGAGGGCAAACTCCTCGTCTTGGAAGGAAAACTGGGGTTCTTCTTGGTAGGGGTTTACTACTTTGTTGATCTCATCTGTAGTAAGTGTTTCACGCTCCAGCAGCGCATTTGCCAAAGCATGTAATTGCTTCTCATGCTGAAAACAAAGTTTGGAAAATGTATCAGCATTAAGTGCACTAAAAGAATCTGGTGTTATGTGAAAGTGATCATTCTAGGGCAGAACCCATCACAGTTGTGAGACAAACCTTCTTAAGCAATCGCTTGACCCGCCCATAAGCTTCTCTTAGGAGCTTCACCACCTGCAAGACCATCTAATCAGGAAATGCAACAGGAAATTTGTAACTTCATTAAGGTCTTTAATGCAGACCACCTCTTGGCATTGATCAAGAGGCTAGTTAATGCAGACTATGCATAAGCAAATTAGTCATGGATCACTAGTTTGCACCAGTGATATACTTGAGAATGGAAGGAGCATACAACATGAGCTAGCATTTGCCCAAAAATATAGGCAAGCTCGCTAAATGTTTAGCAAAATGAAATAGTAAAGCCGAAATGTTATCAGAATATTTAAGCGGCCTATTAGAAAGTACCTCGGCATCTATCCTTGATTGCATATCTACACTTGGTCGCTCTTTCACATGCACAGGACCGATAGCTTCACTCATCCCACAGTTTGATACCTGTAGAGTCATGGTTAGATAAGCCATTTATAACACATCTAATACAAAAATATTTCCCAACAGACGAGGTACTCACCATGTACTGGGCAAGCTCTGTTGCAGTGTGAAGGTCATTTCTTGCCCCAGTTGTAACATTGTCTTCCCCAAAGATCAGCTCTTCAGCAACCCTCCCACCCATGCAAACATCAAGACGTGCAAGTAGTTGTTTCTTGCTAATAGAAGTCTCATCCTGTGAGGGGAGTTGTGTGACCATTCCGAGGGCAGACCCACGAGGAAGGATAGTTGCCTTGTGTATGGGGTGAGCACCCTGGGTGTTGAGTGCAACAATAGCATGTCCACTTTCATGGTACGCAGTAAGCTAATGAACACAAAGAAAAGAAATTAGTTACATATTGGAATTCGCTGTTTCTCCATTCAATACTTTTTGGAAACCTTATGTTAGGACTACTAGTTCCTTTTTAGTTGCTAAAAAGGAAAGTTAACAAGAACATGCCTTTCTTGATTCATCAGATATGAACATTGATTTCCTCTCAGTTCCCATGATAATACGATCTTTGGCAAACTCTAACTGAGTAGCAGTCAACTTGTCAGCACCTTCGACTGCAGCCTTTATCGCTGCAATGTTTACAAGGTTGGCTAGGTCTAACAGAAAGAAACAAAGAGATGTCAGAATATGAATATCAGCTTAAAATCTAAAACATTATACTCAAGGCATGTTTAACATCTTTTTCTTAAAATGAAAAATGTGTAAGTATTCATATTCAAAGTGAACTCATAAATGACAAAGGGAAAACAGGAAGAAGCAGCTGCTAATGAAAAGAATAAAACAATCCTTTCAAATCCCTCATGGCACTTATAAATGAAATGTGACATGCTACTTCCTCAGTAATGGAACAAAGGAAAATGTGCATACCAGCCCCATTAAAGCCAGGTGTACCACGGGCAATTGCATTGATATCTACATCATTTGCCACTGGCTTATCTTGCAAATAGAGCTCCAGAATCTCTTGGCGACCCCGCACATCTGGACTTGGGACAACAATCTAGTGAAGAAAGCGACAGAATTAATCAAGCTTTTTTTCACTGCACTGGATAGAACTTTTAGGTGATACACTTCATCAAGATCAGGAAAATATACGCTCAGGTGACTTACATGCCTATCAAATCTACCAGGTCTTGTGAGTGCAGGATCAAGAATATCTGGCAAGTTTGTTGCAGCCATCACAATTATTCCCTGTAAGATAAAAGATCAATTGGAAGCAAGAGTCAGATAAAGTTCTGAGTAACAATGCTCTATTCAATCACGTGATCTCTAGCAATACCTCATTTTGTTCAAACCCGTCCATCTCAACAAGAAGTTGATGCAATGTCTTCTTTGTGTGCCCTTCCCACTGTTTTCTAGTTGAACCCACAGCATCTATTTCATCAATGAAGACAATGCATGGCGCCTGTAAAGAGAGACTGTTAAAGCTGGCTAAAGAGGCATTCTCCTCTCTCTTCAAGTATGTAGGGCTCTATGACGAGATCAGTCTCCAATATATAACTTTGACCTTTAGTTTTCATGGTATTTTGTCAGTAAAACACATAAAAATATTGCATTTCAGAATAACTTCTCATAACATATATAATGATAAGATTATTCATGTTACTAAATCAACTATTTCTGTTTCCTTGTAAAAAAAGCTTAGCAGTTTTTGTATATATTCATGGTCAAAGTAAAGAAAGCATGACCAGTAAGATCCTAAACAAGATATATTTCTGGATGGAACTATTACTTTTGCAATGGCAGCAAAAGAAGAATCAATATTTACCCTTATATGGAAAGAAATCAATTGACTCATCAACTTAATCTAAAACAATGCGGTAATAGCATATCCTCTACTGCGTACTCAAATAAGTAGTCAAAGAAAGTAACTGACTGATCCATAAACCATAGACACAGAGAAAATGTTAAAGGAGCTAAGATCAGAAAAATACAAGTTTAGAGCACAAGGGTAAATACCTTCTTCTTTGCAGCTTGAAATAATGACCTCACTCTCCGAGCACCAACACCAACAAACCTGAGAAGAGATGAAGTCATAGTTAAATAAAAAAAACTTTGATAGCAGGGTGGAATAAATATTAATAGCGGGGATATTAATTTCCAGATGTTACAGACTTAAGTTTGTCATGAATGCTAAGACATTACCATTCTAGTAACTTTTCAATTGTGTTAAAGAATATAATAAAGTAGAAGAATATCCCGCGCATTGCTGCCAGACTTTCTTAGAAATAAACATGTTGCATGTATTACTTAAATCTACATATTTTTACATCTATTAAAATTGAGCAAGGCAATGAAGAATCCAATAAAAAAACTAACAAAACTAGATCAAATTATAAGATGATGGAACGGCAAAACAAATAGCAACATATGGATGCCTTCTATATTTCATGTATATTAGATGACGTGGATATAGCTTGCATTAAAAAGGTTGGAAGTTAGGGGGGGTGACATGGCTATTAGTGGGAGATGATGTGGATAGTTAGTGGGAGATGATGTGGATGGCTTGCATGTTGAGATAGAACTTGTAGTCAGGATTTGCTTTATAAGAGATATAAATTCAAATTGCATACATCTACCATGGATTATTTTCTGAACCAGTAAAGACAATTGCAATTTGGTAAATTAAGGTTACAGAACAACACAGGAAAATTATAATGCCAGATAGCACCTTACAAGAGATCTTACATTTCCTCAAATTCAGAACCTGCTCGGTAAAAGAATGGTACGCCAGCTTCTCCAGCAATGGCCTGCAGCAAAAGGACAACTCATGTAAGGTATGTTTTTTCAAGACAACAGCAGTAGCACGAAAACTATAGGATAACAGCTGGAGATGGCACAACAGCACATATTGGTATATCTATAAACAAAAAAGATTAATGCAATGTGCAAGAAGTAAAATAGCTAAGTGGTGAGCGCTCCAAACAAGTTCACCTTTGCTAGTAGAGTTTTCCCAGTTCCTGGAGCACCAGTCAAAAGTATGCCCTGCAAAACAGCAAGGTTCACAACAGCTCAATCATCCAATAAAAACGACAGATATATAGAACACACACAGCAAGGTGATGACAAAATGTTACTCGCAGGATGGCATAGAGTGATTACCTTAGGTAGCTTTCCACCAAGGCGAGTGAACTTTGAAGGGTTTTTGAGATACTCAACTACCTCCTCAAGTTCCTTTTTTGCATCATCACAACCTTTGACATCTTTAAATGTCTTGACATTCTGTAACAGCATAGAAGGATCATTTGAATATGTGTTTGTTTTCTGTACTGAGACATCACATTACAAACAAACAACCACAATGAAGACAGTATGGTGCGAAAGAAAAACACTAATAAAGTTTATGTATTAACCCAAAGCGGACCAAGATACTCTTCTTGTATAAAATATTTTATGAAGAGTAATCAGATACCTTCTCTGGCATGATATCCTTATTAATCTCTTTTGTAGAATATGATGAGCTAGAACCAACACCAGATGCCCCAATTCCACCTAAGCTCCCAATATACTTTTGAAGTGCAGCAGCACCCATCACCCTGGAACAAAATATTATGCAGTGAGCATCAACAAAGTAAAGTTAAACATATAAGTAGTTTGGCCCAAGCAATTAACAGATTCAGAATTATTCATTTCAATAAAAAAGTGTTTATCAATTCTCAAAAGAAAATAGACAAAGTTCTTTTCTTTATGCATCACATTCTGTAGGAAGCACCTATGGACACTAGAAGTCTGGGTACAACAGAAACAATTATGTGCCTATTTTAAAGCATAAGATAGCAGGAACATGGGAATTCTGTTTAATTTGCATCACATCATAAAACTGAAAAAAAATAGTATCATCATGCTGGTTGGTTCAAGCTAAATGTGTCTCAGTTACTTCACCATTAAGCCAAGTAGGCACTGGACAAAAAAGGTTGGTACAAACACTATGGTGTAAAAGATAACTAGGAATTAAAAAACACACAACTAATAAGAAGGATGGAAGGTGTAGCATACCACATTACACCGACAGCAATTGTAAACAAGATTGTTGAGAAGATTTCTTGAGCAAAACGTGTTGATCTACCTGTAGATTTGGGGTCAACCTAACGATGCAACAAAATCGATCAAAACATGATTTAAGAATTAAGATCACAGGATAAAATTTGGCCCCTCGCCTATGAAAATGGTCATGAACAATAAATCAGTAGCATTCCTCCAAGATCTGGTAGACTTACCATTACAACATGTAAAGGTTGCTTTTCTGATATCCCCGGGTTCATGAAAGGTTTGTCCTCATTCCCAGATACACGTTGCTTCAACTCTTGCAACTACTGACATAAATGCATATAACAGAGAGTGAAGTGGTTACAACATGCCAAGTTGCCAACATGGTGACTAATACAGAGTACAAGTAACTAATACAGAGTAGAAGTAAACACAAAATGGCAGAAAGCATAGTAGAAGGAAATGCATAGAGTGTGAAGTTATAAGCTTTGAGCTGATAGATGGATTTGGAAAATTGAATATCAGTTAAGTTACCAAACGTGGTACAGTTTTTTTTTCTGAAGCTATATTGACAGAATAAGATAGTGCATAAAACTTCATCATCTATGTATTACAGAGTTGCAAAATGAACTTACCAGGGCTGGCAGACTTGCAGACCTCCCAGATTGTTCATCTGGAAGGTAGTCAGATATATTGTTAGTGAGAATAAGAGCCCGCAGGTACTCTGCGGCCCCCCTGCTATCCACAGCATGGCTTCGCTGCTCAAACCTTTTAATAACATCTTCAGGGCTGCCATATTTTCAGTGCACATCAAAACAGGAAATTCAAATAGGTGAACATACCATTCTTTAGTTTCTAATTCGAAGAAGATTTGATGCAATGGTCAGTACAAACAAAACCAACAAAAGAAGAAAACTTTCTTCATTGTCATTTTTTTTTTCAAACTGTACCAAAAGAAGGCAGAGAAAAGGACTCCGATGCTTATGTCAACAATGCAACCACTACTAATGATAGTGCAGGTACTAGGACTCCAACTATAAGAAAAATTGGACTATTTTGATATAAGTTCCAGATCATTAATATTTGTGCTTTCTCCTGTCAATGATCCATCAGTATATGAATCGTCAAGCACTCCTCACGTTGCTTCTAATTAATTTTGTGAGGCAAATCAACATAGAGGTATATCTAGGGTGCAGAATCCACTCAACATCGCAAAAGTTGGGAATTCATAGCCACAAATTTCTCAAGAACCTTGCTACAACTGATCCTTAGGTAAGTCAAACCATCGAAACCGTATAAATCAGCACGCAATCCACTCAGCCCCCGAACCACATTCGTCCAATTGTCAAAGCAAAACAACGCACCTGAACTTGTTGAGCTCGTGGAGGAGCACGCTCTGCTTGGCGGCGTCGTTGGGGTTGGCGTCCGCCTCGTCGATCAGCTGCTGCAGCCGGCGGTCGGGCCTCCAGAAGGGCCACCAGCTCATCCAGTCCCTCGACGCCAGCCAGTCGACGAACCTCCTGACCGCGGCCACCACCGCAGCCGCGACCGCCATGGCCCAGGCCCTAGCCTTATCCACCAGGTCCTCCAGCTCCTCCTTCCCGCTCATCGCGGCGGGCTGCGCCGCCGTCGTGGCCTCTGCCGCCGCCTCCGGCTCCGGCTCCGGCTCCGGCTCCGGCTCGGGCTCAGCCTCCGCCGCCGCCGTCGCGGCCGAGGACGCAGCCGCGGGCGGCTCGGGGGCGTCGGGCTCCGGCGCGCCGGGGACCAATGCGCGGAGGCGAAGCGGGGCACGGCGGTGCGTGTGGGCGCCGCGGGGGAAAGAGGCGGAGGCGGAGGGGAGCGAAAGCCGGCGGCGCGGGGGCAGTGGCGAGGGGAGCGGGCGGAGGAGGAGGGAGGCCTGGAGCGCGCTCATGGCGGCTGAGGCGGGCGGCGCCGGCGAGGTGAGAGGCGCGTGACTTGGAGAGAGGGGCTTCCCCTTTTTTCCCCCCTTTCTACGCTGGAGGTGGTGGGTCTTGGTTTTAGTGGACACGAGGAGTAGCCTTATCGCGAAGCGAGACCGCGACTCCGCGAGCGCGGCCGCGCACGCCACGGTGATGGAAGCCGAGGCGGGGCGACGGGGTGGGGGCGACGACGCGGCGGCGCTCGCGATCGGTAGGATTCACTCGGACCGTTGGTAGCGGGAGTGGTGATGGGGACGGCCGGCTCTCGAACGCGATGACGACACGATCACTTGACTCGCCTGGTCGGTGTTGGAGCTGGGCCTGGGGCTGGTATACTGTCCTTATTATTGCTCAGTGACAACAGGCGCTGGCACTCCGGTTCAAGCAAGGGACGCGATTCTCGGACACGAGCGCGGAAAGAAGGTACGTAGACAGGAAGAATGGAATAAAGAAACTGGGGGAGATCCATGGTAGGTTTCACGTGCCAACTCATGGACCAGGGTAATCTATGTCTGCCTTCTTCAAGCCTCTTTCGGACCATGAGCGTTTTGCAAGATCAAACGGTGTTTTGCGCTTATCCTTGCATTTCATGCATGTGCAAACTTTTTAAACTTCAGTTAGAGCCCATATATTATTAGAGCACCGGATAGATGGCGATTGCTGCGGAGATAATGAAAGATCGAACGCGGTTTTGCACTTATCCTTGTATTTCATACCGTGTGCAAAATTTTTAGACTTCAGTCAGAGCCCATATTGTTAGATCATGGGATAGATGGTTATTGCTACGGAGATAACATATATCCACATTAACTAAACTAAATCGGCACCAATATTATTTTTTGGCATATATTCCGCAAACAAAGAATTGATAATGTAGATCCAAAGAGAGGGATCTAGCCCACAAAACAAAAGTTTGAAGGGAATAAAACATACATAGATAACATCATGATGGAGCTTTTTCTCGTTTGCATTTAGTGTGTCTCCAACAACTAGTACGAATCGCTAGTGTGATGCTTTTCGTATGTGCACTAAGAGCGTAGATTCCACAGTTATCATTGGAAGATGAAAGGGTCCACAAAGATTATTTGGAGAAAGAAAGGAAGATGCAAAAGCCTTGGGCAGACGAAAGGATTAGAGTTTAGAGGGATGCACTGATAGTGTAGATGCTACAAAAGTTATGGGAAGCCATGTGAGCCTATCACCCTTTTTTTTTTGACAAAACTGGAGGGGCCAAGGCCCCTACAGGAAATTTATTAAGTTATAAAATAAACAAAAGTCTGACAGTACAGGGGGAGTTCAGGAAGAAAAAAAAAAGAAACAAAGAAGATAAGAGCAAGAAGGGAGATTACAACAGGTTTTGAATCCATAAATTAATAGTATGGGTATATCTAGCCTTTGCCCTTAAAGAAAGGATCTTCATTTCCTTTCCGAAGATTTCTTGGACAGACTCAACAATCGGCTGGATGCCTTTGAAGATAAGATCATTCTTAACAGTCCAGACACCCCAACACATCATAACAGCAGCCATCAGAAGAAGTTAGGTGAATTTGGTCTCTGATTTGCATAACTGCCTCCAGAATATCAGAACCTGACTTAATTGTAACGCCAATCAAACTCCAACAGATCTTAGCAAACTGACAGTTCAGAAAAAGATGAGCATTTGTTTCTTCAATATTTTGTTGATAGAGCACACAATTATAAGATTCCAAAAACATTTTTTCCTCCTAAGATATTTCTGGTGCTGAGTTGATCCTTTAGGAGTAACCAGAAAAATACTTTGTGTTTGGGTTAATAAAAACAATCCCAGAGCCAATTGTGAACCTGGTGAACTTGCCTATGACCCATCAGAGACTTGTAAGTCTTTGAGACTGAGAAATCCCCTCAATTTGATTTCCTGCAGTCATGCTGATCAGTTAAAGGTAAGTGTTCAATGAATGACTGCACAATCTGAAGTTGATTGAAAGCTTCAGCAGAGAGGGGTAGGCTGAATAGATTTTCAATGTGGGGACGAGAGAACAACTTGCTGACAGTGATGAATTTGTCCCTAGCAAAGGAGTAAAGCTCAAGATATTCAAGCTGCATTGGCTGCTGATTCCACTTATCAGACCAGAAGAGACAGGTCTGGCCATTTTGAATGTGAATAGCAGAAAAAGCTTCGAAATGCTCCAACAATTTAAGCACATCCCTCCACCAGAAGGAACCTTTTTTAATATGATTTGACAGTTTCCCATTTAAATAATGCTTTTCCCAGACTAGAGAAACCCATGGAATATCTTTTTTATTGAAGAATTTGTCCAGTTTTTTTAAGAGCAGTGCATCATTCTGTTTCTCCAGATTAATGACTCCAAGACCACCCTCTTTCTTTTGTTGTGCAAACCACTTTCCAAGCAGCTTTTGGGGCTTTTTTAGAATTAATGTCTGCCCCCCTCCAAAGACAATGCTTTTTAAATTTATCAATTTGTTTGATGACACCTTTTGAGAGAGCAAGGGCACTAAGATGAAAAGTTGGCAGGGCAGTGAGGACAACATTAGTAAGCTCAAGTTTGCCAGCTTGGGAAAGAAACATGGAGGTGGAGATCAGTCTCCTTTCACACTTGGTTACTGTCGAGACCAATACTAGAGTACCCGAAGAGGAGGGGCTAATGACCATCAACATTGATTCATCCGAGCAGTCAAGGGCGCCACTACAGCTCCGACCGACCCCCAGGTGCGCAAGCTCCGCCTCTTCCGACACCTGGGAGAGGGCTCTGCCTCGCTCGACACCGAGGCCATGGGCTCTCCTCGCCAAGCGACCCCACAGGAGAGGGCTCTCCGCCTCGCCGACACCGGGCCGAGGACTCCATCTCGCCCGACCCACGGAGAGGGCTCCGCCTCGACCCGAGGCCGGGTAAGGGCTCCGCCTCGCACACCTCGCCCGACCCCTAGGAGAGGGCTCCACCTCGCCCGACACCTAGGAGAGGGCTCCGACTCGCCCGACCCCCGGGAGAGGGCTCCGCTTTGCCCAACCCCGAGGCCGGGAGTTCCGTCTCGCTCGATGGAGGCCCATACCGCCACCAACTACCCCAGGTCCAAGCGTATGGGCCAGGGTCAAAACTCTGACACCAGGGAAGAGACCGGCACGCCCCGATATAACCCGTGATCGTGACGGGCCATACCTGGGGGTTCACGTCAGGAACAACGTCGGACGTACCGGTGCTGTTCTTCCTAGCCCCCGTTCGAACACTGACAAGCGCGTCAGTTCACCACGACGTCCGTCTGGACGGAGTGGAGTGCCATGACCGGCAGACGACTCCTGCGCATGGCGTCAGTGACGGACAGGGCCACGACGTGAAACCGTCCCTGTTGACGTCTACGGAATCGGCGGGATCCGCATGGAGGAAAAGAAGGACCCGGTGATCCCGAAGGACTTCTCCTCCCTCTCGTTCTCCTCTCTTCCTCCGCTGTAACCCATGCTTTCCCTTGGACTATAAAAGGAAAAGTAGGGCGTCCCATATGAGGAGGGTGGCTCTCTCGATCGACTTGAGGCATCACACTCTGGAACCCGATCAACTCATCAAACCGCGAACACACAGCCGAACAGCGACGGAGCTATCGGCACCAACTCATTCTTTCCACCAGAGACTTGGGACGTGTCCCTCTCTCGCCCAATTATAACGCCTACTATGAACTTTCAGTGCTAGTAACACGAGCAACAACAACGAACTGGACGTAGGGACATTCTATCCGAACCAGTATAAATCTCGTGTCCTCTAAGCACACCATCCGAACCAGACGCGTAATATTAGAAATTTACTAGTTGATGGTAACTCGAAACACCGACCGTTACCAAAGGTTGAAAGTCATCAATTCTCGGTTTAGTGAAACCCAAAGGCAGGCCAAGGTAAGTAAATGGGAAAGAACCTTTAGAACAGCAAAAAATATTAGCCAAATGATCAAAATTGTGCTCTGAGATGTTGATAGGCACCATCATAGACTTACTGTAGTTAACTTTTAACCTAGTTGACTCGGAGAATAAATAAAGGATTGATTTCAAGAACAGTTGTCTAGCCTCTCCTTCCATAACAATGAGAGTGTCAACAGCATACTAGATAACAGGAAAATCAGATGAAGAGCCGAGGGGAATTGGGAGATTCAACAACCCACTGTTTTTGGCCTTGTTACCCATCTTTTCGCTACTCACTAGTATGTGGTACAATTCATGTATTTGTTTCAAGATAGATCATTGGAGTTGTCATATGAAGAGATGAACGTTGGAGCTGCCCTACCCTACGAAGAAGCGTGCATTTGTGCTTTTATATTGTGTTTCAAAAGGAAAAGAGGTTTATAAGACAAATAATCCTTAACATGAAAAACTAGGCTATAAAGCCTATAAGTGGGGTCGAAACTCTAAGATACCTCCCTTAGTAACATAGAACCTTAGAGTTTTATTATCTATAGTGGCAATACTTGTAACAGTTATAACCCTATTTAGATAGATCTTTAGTCCTCGTGAATCCAGTGCATAGACTTAAGTCCCTACTGATAAATAGCGCTCCCACACATTCAATACTTGGATTCCTTAGCTTCCTTGAGTTATGGGATTTTTATGTTTTCTATATTTTTCCTATAAAAATAAACTAATTCTTGTAAAATCCATAATACTATAAAATTTCTACGTTTCAAAGAAAACCTCAAATGAATAATACTATGTTTGTTGTTCCACGTATGCTCACCACACCCATAGCAGACTATATATCCTTGCATGCTCGCTCATACCTTGATCCCTCGTCTATCCGTGCAATTTCAAAATAAAGGTCTCAAATTTGGTAACCTTGAAGCATTAGGAGTTCAATTTACAAAACTAAGAGTATGTGATCGAACAAGCAAAATGCTTCATTTAAGATGTTTCTCTTTTTCTTTTTCTTATTTCAACCTCTCTGCTTCTCTTTTCCTTTTTTACAACCCATCTGAACTAACCATCTGCCCCTGCCTT